AAAACTTATTCATTATTCAAAGCTGATTCATAAATTCACTAGAATCATTGTCAGGTTCAGCTATATAGAGACTGATCGCCTCCGGTATGCAAATCACTCGGGTCCCACCCTGTAGGATGATTATCTGGTCTTGTAAAGAGAGATTCCGGTTGAGTGTAAGGGACCGAACAAATGGCAACGTTTGTTTCCTAGTCAGAGCTGTCACTTTTTAAATCCACCTTGACCGGCCAGAGCGCCTGTAAAAAGCATGAATAATATTTTGGAATATTTCGAGAGAGGCAGGTACTCTGCAGCGAGAGGACATGGGCGGGTCGAGGAATTCTTCGGGACCGAGAGAGAATGTGCAGAAGTCCGGTGATTTTTTTGGTGGGCTCGATTAATGGTAGATGGGCGTAATCGGGAAGTTCAATCTTGATTGATATCGTCTTTGAAGCTCTAGCAAATGTATTGGTATCTTAAATGAAGGCGACGGCTTGCATGCGTTCAAATAATTAACCACTATATTTTTTCTATGAAACAACAACAGGATACATTTGTAGATGCGACAAAAGAATCACTCGTTATGAGTTAGCCATTTTGGCGACAGTTTCACGGATGTATCACGTATAATCAGAATTTCCTAAACTTTGAAACCCTAAAATACCTTGTGATGCACTGTTTGGAACCTCTAGTGTAATAATGCATATTACTGAAGTGCTATCCCAACACCAAACTGTTATTTTTAACACATCGACAGTAATATTCTCAAATACTTACCTTGTCAATTTTTACTGATTCAACGGAGTTGGTTTCCAATTTTTCCTTGTTGGCCCTTCTTATCTTTCAAGCATTGTATTCAATTGTAACGGGTTTTTCCGGGTTGAAAACTGGAACAAAGATGATGCTAATAGAAGACTTATATACCAATTGATTGTAAATCAAACCCTCGGGCACCACTTTTTCCTTGGTATGTCCAGTTCCTGGATATCAATCAGTGGAGGTATCCAGAGGTCAGTTAATTTTGACAACAAGAGGAATACTAGCCGATATAGGCTTCGATTACATCCATTTGTAGTTATTACCTGCTTGTCTAAAAAACATTTTGCTTCTGCCATCTTAGCTACACACACTTTAATCCTGATGCTGAATTGGAAAATTAGTCTCAAAAAAATTATAAAGGTCGTTAAAAACCTCTGATCACCTCCACAAAAAATGACTTTTGTTGATTATTTGATTGAGGTCTTTCACGGAAAAAATTTGAATAATAACGGGTCCATATGAGATCACTGAAGCACTCCCGATCGTGGTACTTTGACTGGCTCAAAAACAGGAACTTCACTGTTACACATACCTATTAGACTCTACCCATGAAATAACTTCCAATAAGTTTCAACAATATGTTTTAATTCTCAAGTTTTGCAACTAACAAACTGTGGTGTGCAAGTACTCTATCGAAGGCTTTGGAAAAGACTGTATGTATAGAGTAAACTAACATTCAGTATCTAGAGCATTTATGATATGATGTTCATATTGCAATGAGTTTTTAAAAGTGTATTTTGCAACAAAACCAGTGTTGTTCATAACATTTTGAAAATCCTATGATGGCTTTCTTTTATAGTATGTTTCACTCTAAAAGGTGTTGTCTTATCAAACGTAATTAACTACCTGGTTCAATATCATTGTCTAGTGTAGTTTAATATTGCGATTCTGATGTTCCCTTTATTTGATTCGGGTTTTACAACTTCTAATTGGTTTTATTATAATCGTTTAGCTAATACCATATACAGTGAAAACTACTATAACCAAACAGTCTTGCAATTCAGATTGATGGCACACACCATCGTTTTCAAGTTCATTTTGAGAACCATCTTTAATGAATTGGTTCTGTGAAATTATGTTTGTACAGAACGTACCCATCTGTGAAGGGATTTGAACTGGTTGACAATTTCCATGGAAATTAATGTGCCAAGTGTGTTATTTCTCTTATTTATCGATTTCGTGAGTGCAAACATTAATTGTACATTTAGAGTTGGAACTTTATTAACTTTTTAGTATAATCATGACCTGTAGAAAAGTAAATGGGAAATGAGTTAATCATTTTACTGTAAGATATAAAAGTGACTTGCCATTTTCAATAATTTTTATTTTATTGTAATTTAATTTCAGGGGTTTTTCCTTGATGTATTTTTTTTTCAACTATTCATTTCAATTCTCAATTTTTATTTCTTCTTTCAGGGATATCAAATCATAGGGAAGCGGAGGTAGGTACGTGGTTACAATTTTTAGATAGTTGGCAATATGACAAAAGCTATCAAATAATTTATACATTTGATTGCTTTTATCGTTAATAGTTAAAATTTATGTAATTTTTTCACAGTGGACAATTTAACAAAAAAGGTCGATTATAACAACTCCATAGAGACCATCTTGGTAAGGGGAGATAAATACGCTTACTTATATTGAGGAATCGATCTGTCAAGTAGAGCCCAAGGTCTTGAATTTTAACGTACGATCCCGATTACCGACGAAAATATTTCATCGAAAGTTCATTGAAGAAGAAGTCACTTATCAAGGGCACCTGGCGCACATATAGGTAGGTTTAGCCTTCCCCTCTCCGATTTGAGTTGGCCGTGTTTAAACATGTTATGTTCCTTCCTCTTGTCCTTATTATTATTTTTAATCACGTTTCAGTTGAGATTATGTGAGACAAAAATTACCTAATTTCAACTTGAATTTTCCAAATCCGTCTTATTTTAGTAACATACTATTTTTATAAAATTCTGTTCAGTTGACGTGATATCTTTGACATCTATTGAGATCGTTTGTTTTTTCATTTAACGAAAGACGTAATTTTCCACAGTGCTAATATTTGCAATTAAAGCTGTTACTAGTTTCATATTTGGCGAAGGCGTACACATTTATAAGAACGTAAGCCATTCAAGCGGCAGCAGTCAAGATTAGAGAAAACAAAATTTGGCCTACTAGTACGGATTTCGTTTTGTCTGAGTGAAAACATCTGTCCCAGATAAAGTTTCAAGATAAGGTTTTCAAGATTGTAGGTTCTGAATAGGTTTCTGTTCTAATCGCACATTTGAATCTCCGAAAATTCTGAATACAAGTTATATTTGATGAGTAGTGTATACATAGTAATTTAATGGTTTACACTATTTTATTTTTTGAAAATATTTTCCTTATGTTTACATAGGTACATTTTTTGTTCTTAGGTATATTTGGAATAAAATAATAGAAAATGGTATAATCCGTATATAGTAAAAGAGGAAATGTTGGAAATTTTAGAAACATTGTTCTATCTCAGTCAAGTTTCTCCTAATAGATGGTTTGGAAGACGCATTGTATAGGTATCTAAGTTTTCTCGATTTGAGCCTACTTGACTATTTAACAAAAGTATATCATCACAGAACAATAGATTAAATAACAACAATAGATTAACAATAGATTAAAAAACATAAATCTGTCAAATTATCCTGGAAACGATACAAAATATTAAAAAAATTAGCAGCGCCTCCACCACCGTTAAAAAGCAAGAGGCGTTCATCATCATGAACATTAGAAATGTTTTGTATTTTGATGTTTACTCCAGTGACACTGAAAATATAATAGGTAGGTATTTTCTAAATGAAAATTTAGATATAAATTCGAAATAGGTAGGTATTTTATGTTGGTGAATGAAGAATTGAAAACCGTTTGTTTCAAGACAGTTGACTTGGTGAATTTCAATAGTTCGGACTTCTATTGTCTAATATTATATGAAATGATTTGAAATCCCTGAAAGAATCAATAAAATCAAAATGAATAGCTGAAAATAACAATTATATTAAGGAAAAGTACAAGTAACAACAGAAAATTGAACAATATATTAATGAAATAAAAATTAAAATATTTCAAGCCAAGTTACTTCACGACGTTTCGATTAGGATTTTTATAAAAGTTTTTACCAATTTCGTTACATAGAAGTCAACACATCTAAAAATACCTAGTCTTGAAATATTGTTTGTACGAAATACCTCCAATGTACTCGTAGGTAGATACCTAAAATAATTCGATTCAGAGATATAGAACGCACCTAAAATTTCTTTTCTCCATTCAAGTAATGTCATTATTTTGACTAATTCCATTATTTTTTTCCACTAATACAGTTTCCAGTCATCTATTATCACATCTTGAGGTTTATATACATTAAGAATGAATAAAAGCAATTCATATCATTTTTACAAATTCATTCATTCACGATAGGTACCTATCAGATATGGAATAAATTAAACAGCACTGACATTTAATCAAAATTATTCTACCCGAATACTTTTGTCGACACACCCTGTACAAAAAAAAAGGATTTGATATCAATTCATTTATCTACGAATATGCATTGAAAACTTCCCGAAAATATAAAATTTAGGCCTCGACAATAGATCGTAATTCCACTAATACCGTCATCACGTCTACTAAATCGATTAGTAATTTTCACAATCATATCTACAGCTTTCAGTGATATATTTTTTATTAGGGTTTGCGTTCCGACTTCTCATTAAAATCTCTTTGTATAGGAATCACAATATCTTTCAACAGAATAAGCAAGAGACAGTCATGGTATTTAAACAAATATCTACATTCATGATGGGTATCGGAATAAATTAAACATTACGGGCATTTATTCAGGATTTATCCACACGAATACTCTCCGGCACACCCTGTACAACCTCACGCTGATCAAACATGAGCCTCGACCAATAACTTATCAGAAAAATCAGGATCCGACATCAATTCACTTTTCTACGCATATGCATTAGAAACCTCCCGAGAACGCCACAAAAAATAGGCACCTACAATAGATTTACGATCCGAACCCGACTCGCCTGACACTCTCATAAATATTGTTTATGTTCGAGTCTGAAGCACAGGTGATATGGCAACGCCGACAGGTTGCCATTGGATCGCGTTACTCGTACTCCTCCCCAGGTAAACCGAAGAACGAGGTTCAGTCTTCAGTCGAGTGACCGCGATTGCGTCGTGCACAGGTAAAAACCACGAGCTTCGGTGCCGTGCACATGTGAAGTCATTCACCGCGAAAAGTAAACAAAAACAATATCGCATCAGTGCATCGCGCTTCGCGTTCAGTTCGCAATTCGGGTCCGCGACTACCCCAGAAAGTTAACTGACTTGTGCTCCATCGAGTGCTCTCTCTCTCGCGAGAGATTACAGTGACCCGCCGCGGTTGAATAACCTCCAGCGGCTACTAAAGTGACCGAATTCCTGGTGACAAAACCCGAAACAAGTGACAGTGCTCGCGATCCCCGGGCTTCTATGTTTTCATAGAACTTCTCAAAGGACCCCGTCTGTGATCGGCCATATTGCATACCACATCGAGTGAGAACCAGCATCTAACCGAGGCGCGACAGACGGAGATGCCTGCGCTCTCCAGAGGCTGAATAACTCGATAGGCGGGGAGGGAGACTGTGGAATGTTAGAGCTCTTCAGCTTCTAACGCACGTGTATCAAGAAATGTTATATTTCGGTTTGTGAACTGTGCTAATTTCGAACGATGCGGTAGTGGATTAAAATGTGGGGATTACTGTGTTGGTTGTTGACTTTTGGGGGGATGATGCTCGCTGGGGCACGAACCCCCGGTCCTGGACCAGGACCAGAGCCCTACTTGGGCTACTCCACGCAAATGCAGTCTCGCGCTGTCGACACCCGAGTTACTCTAGACGTTCTCGAGGGCCAACCCGAAGGGACCATCGTGGGGAAGATCCCGACGAAACCGGGTTTCACGTACCGCTTCAATGAGCCCCCCAAAGAATTTACTCTGGATGCTAACACCGGTGAGATCAGGACCAACGTAGTATTGGATAGGGAGGCATTGAAAAACGACAGATGTGATTTGGTAATTTTATCTAGTCAACCAACTTACCCTATAGAAGTACGCATCGTAGTCGTGGATATCAACGACAATGCTCCCGAATTTCCTGAACCAAGCATCGCAGTATCTTTCTCCGAAAGCGCCTCAGCAGGAACTCGTCTCCTGCTGGATGCTGCCACCGACAAGGACGTCGGCATCAACGGCGTTAGCGACGACTACAGAATAATTGCAGGCAATAAGGATGACAAGTTCAAGCTGGTAGTAACTCCAAATCCAACTGGTGAAACTTCCTACCTACACCTTGAAACCACAGGAAAATTGGACAGGGAAACTCAAGGCTATTACACGCTGAACATTTCGGCCAGAGATGGGGGCACTCCCTCACGATACGGTTACCTCCAAGTCAACGTAACCATCTTGGACGTAAACGACAACCCTCCTATCTTCGAGTTGAGCGACTACATCGTATCCTTGAACGAAAGCGTACCTCCTGGCACCCCAGTGCTGCAAGTAGTAGCGATAGACAACGACATGGGCGACAACAGCAAAATAACCTACTACCTAGCCGATACCGAGCACCAATTCACCGTGGATCCCGAAACGGGAATAATTTCGACGACAGAACTACTAGAATGTCCCCAACAAAATTGCCTGCACCCCACCAAGCCAGGAGGCGGCTGTCCTAAGAGCTGCGTTTTCACTGTTTTCGCAAGGGACCATGGGACCCCCAGACAAGATGGTAGGACTTACGTTACAGTAAACTTACTCGATGCCAACGATCACGACCCCATAATAAAGTTCAGATACTTCCCTTCCACTGCAGGATTCGCCACTGTCGACGAAAATGCAGGAAACGGATCTGTTGTAGCTGCGGTCTCTGTAGTGGACCAGGATGAAGGGTTGAATGGAGAAACGACAATCAGAATCGTGTCCGGCAACGAGCTGAACCATTTTCGGCTCGATTACACCCCTAGCTTCGACATTGTCAGGGTGAATGGCGTGCTAGACCGTGAGGAAATTTCCAAGTATAATCTCACGGTCGTGGCCACTGACAAGGGCACTCCTCCTCGTACCGCAACTGCATTTTTAATAATCCACGTGAACGACGTAAATGATCATGAACCTGTGTTCGAGAAAAGTGAGTATTCCGCTATTCTCAGCGAGCTCGCGCCTCCAGGCACCTACGTGGCTGGGATTACAGCCACGGACGAAGACACCGGAGTCAACGCACAAATTTACTACGCCTTCGTGTCCGGTAATGAAAATCAGTGGTTCTCCATTAACGTAGACTCGGGGTTGATCACCACAAAAGCGTCACTGGACAGGGAAATCCAGGGGACCGTCGAACTGAACATCTCCGCCAGGGATGGAGGCCCCAACCCCAAGTGGGCACACACGCAGTTGAAGGTGACGATTTTAGATGAAAACGATGAGGCCCCGGAGTTTTCTCAGTCGCGGATAAATGTCAGCCTGTCAGAAAGCGCCGCACCAGGTACACTCGTAGCAATGCTCACAGCTTCAGATCATGATCAAGGCACCAATGGAAGCGTGGCGTACACCCTCCACCCGGCTGTCAGGCAACGATATGACGATACTTTTGCTCTAGATTCCTTAACAGGACAACTCACCACCAAGAAAAAACTTGACAGGGAAAAGATATCTAGTTACGAGGTCAACGTTATCGCTAGAGACCAGGGAATACCTTCACAGTCATCCACCGCCACAGTTTATCTCTCCGTTCTCGACATGAACGACAACAATCCTGAATTTTACCCCCAGAAATACTTTGTTCCTGTATCGGAGGACACTCGACCGGGGACATCCATCGTGAAGGTCAGCGCAACAGATATGGATGAGGGTGAAAATGCTATGATCACCTTCAGGCTAGAGAACGGAGGCGACGGGTTGTTTACAGTAGACGAATGGACGGGAGTTGTTACGCTACGTGGCTCCTTGAAGAACATTCCCAAACCCATGCATCGGCTAAAAATATCAGCTAGAGATCACGGAGACAAACGAGCTTTAGAAGATGCCACGGTTGAAATAATCAAAGACGCTTATCTGGAAGAGCTGCACTTCAACAACTACGGAGGATATGAGTTCCAGTTAGTTGAAGACCCCAGTGACCAATTGCTTTTCACCAAGAGAGACGTAGGTTCAGTGCACGTTAGGAACAGTGATGCCACCTACTTCATAGTGTTTGGAGACCCCAACTTCAACTTCCACATAAACGAAAATACGGGAAAGATCACCACGGCGAAGAAAATCGACAGAGAGCAGACAATGACTTACAGCTTGACTGTGATTGCTCGTGTTGGATTGTCATATGGTAAAACTCTCGTGAACATCGTCATACAAGACTTGAACGACAATCGACCTATCTTTGTACGTGATAAAGAAGAAATAAAGCTTTTCGAAAATGCAGCTGTAGGCCAGGAAGTTTACCTAGCACGGGCGAGGGATTTGGATGCAGGAATCAATAGCAGGGTGACCTACAGCTTGTCTTACAACCCCGGCGATCAGTTTCGAATATCAGAAGCAACAGGAGTAATTTATTTAAACAGACCCATCCGAGCCGAACCAGGTACTGTTCTGCATGTGGAAGTGAAAGCTACCGATGGAGGAGAGCCCCCACTTTCATCTAAACATTCGCTAATGATAAGCATCGAAGATGTGAATGACCACACCCCAGTTTTCGATCATACTTCGTACGAAACGTCGCTTCTGGAATCGACGCCTGTGAACCACAGGTTCTTTGCCTTAGCAGCTAGTGATGCGGATTTAGGGGCCAACGGAAGGATTTCCTACGCTATTTCGGAAGGGAACAACGAGGAGAAATTTGGAGTGTTTCCCGATGGCTACCTGTATGTGCGCAAACCTTTGGATAGGGAGGATAAGGACTACTACTCGTTAACGGTGATGGCGCAAGATGCTGGAGACCCTTCGCGGTCTTCCATGGTGCCCGTGGTGATTCACGTCATCGATGAGAACGACAATAGCCCAGAGTTCACAAACGGAACTTTTACTTTCAGCATCAGGGAGAACGAACCTCCTGATTCTTTCGTAGGAAAATTGACAGCCACTGACAGAGATATTGGCAGGAACGCCGAATTGATTTTCTCGCTCTCCAGTTCTCAGAATAGCTTCGCCATCGACCCGAAAAATGGTTTCATCAAGACATTGCACGTGTTCGATCGCGAGGAGCTAATGTCGACCAAAGGTCAGAACTTTATCTCACTGGAAGCTACTGTAGCGGATAATGGGGTGCCAAGATTACGCGACAAGGTGAAAGTCAACGTATACGTAACAGACGTCAACGATAACCCTCCAAAGTTCCTGCGTGCTCCGTATAAAGTGCAGATTTCAGAAGGATCGTCTATTGGAGCTCAAGTGCTACGAATTTATACAACCGATGCCGACGAAGGCTTGAACGGCGACGTCTTTTACAAAATATCAGGCGGCAACGACGACGGACGCTTCGAAATCGACGACGCCACTGGTCAGATCAATCTCGTTCGCCGTCTCGACCGAGAAACGATCTCCAAGTACACCCTTGTCGTCGTGGCCCACGACGTCGGCCTCTCACAACAACTCAGCGCGTCTACCACCGTCTCTATCGACATCCTCGACGAGAACGACAACGCACCGGAGTTCACCCAGACGGAGTCGAGGATTTCCGTGAGCGAGACCACTCCGGTGAACACAGAACTTATTCAGTTCAGGGCAAGCGATTTAGATCTAGGCGTGAACAGCGAGGTGGTGTATTCAATTACGGCAGGAAATAGGAAAGACACCTTTCACGTCGACCCGCTGACAGGAGTGCTGCATTTGCATAAACCGTTAGACTACGAAGATCTCGCAGGCTATCAGCTCAACATCACGGCATCTGATAATGGCAATCCGAGATTATCTACAACTGTTTTGTTCAGCGTAGCCGTCGAGGATGCAAACGATAACCCGCCGGCGTTTGCTAGCACGGCCATCGTGAGGCAGATCCGCGAGGGAATTCCCATACACACCCCCATAGTGACCGTGACTGCAGACGATCCCGACTCGGGGTTGAACGGGAAGGTTTCCTACGCGATTTCCAATCAAGATCCGGAAGACGGGAAGAGGCACTTTGGAATCAACCCGATTACCGGGGTGATTCACACCCTGCTGCCCATAGATCGAGAAACCATCGACACCTTTAGACTCACCGTGGTGGCAACAGACCAGGCAGAGCCCGTTTCCAGCAGACTGTCTGCCGACAAATTGGTTACCGTCATCGTGGAAGACGTAAACGACAACGCTCCAATATTCGTCTCCATGAACTCTGCGGTGCTTCCCAAAACCGACAAAAGCTTTCACACAGGGGAAGTGCCCATAATGACAGTATTTGCTAGGGACCTGGACTCAGCCACCAATGGGCTCGTTACCTACGAGCTAGCAGGCGGAAATAGCGACTTATTCAGACTATACCAGAGTTCAGGGGCGCTAAAACTCAGGAGACCGATACACAATCCGGAACCTACCTACAGACTTTCCGTCAAAGCCACCGACGAAGCAGTTCAAAGTGAACGCAAGTCCTCTGAGGCATATTTGACCATCATAGCTACTAACGGGGTGGAGAACGGCCCCAAATTCGAGAGCGAACTCTTCTCTGGCGACGTTTTCGAAAATGAACCCACCGGTACCAGCATACTCACCGTTTTCGCCAAGTACCATTCCGGGGAAGTGGAGTATTATGTGACTAATGTGACGGGTGGTGGTGTGCAAGTTGACAGATTGTTCGACATCGATACCAAATTGGGTGTTTTATCTACTGCGACCGAGTTGGATCGAGAACTGGGAGTTGACACGTACGAGATTGAAGTTTATGCGATTGTGACCGGTGCCAATATGGTGAGAACGTCGAAAACTAAGGTGAGTCGATGGAAATATTAAATTTACTGTATCTGCTTCAAATGATAAAAACACTTATGAAAATGAATGTATCAATTCATTATATATTAGCACTTCCTTCACTTTAATATTTTCGAAGATTATTTGCTAATATAATGCATCAATACTAATTATTCAAAACTTACTCTCTTCACTTTGTGCGAGATACAGTTTAAGTTGTTCTAATAGTTAACTTAAATTAACTTTGATGATTAAGGTTGGCTCAAATAGTATCACCCAATCTTCTCTGTTTATGTTCTTGTTTGAACTCTGGAAAATCAAATCATTTCTTCATATAAGAAAGTCGAAGTTAATAGGTAAAGTACAAAAAAATAGTTGTTACTTTTGTGTCATATTTATTTTATGAGTAGTGCCAACAAAATGCAGCTATAATTTTTCAGAAATCACAACTTTTTATTCTTAAAAAAGGAACAGTATTCAATTTTACATTTTGATATGTATTTACTCACCTCAGTTTGATGGAATGAAAAATATGGAATTTTGTACAAGAATTTTTTTCTGATGTAGGCAGTGAAGAGCATGTAATACATGTTCTTCATTTCATGTAATACAAATTCAACAGATAGAAAATTCATGATACATCTCCTGAAGATGTAAACTCGGTTGGTGAAACGCGCTTCGAGAAGTGTATTGCAGTTCATTTCCATTTCCAAGAATAAATAATCGAATCAACATCTTTCTAATATAAAATACCACTATTTATGTCACTGAACAAATCTCTCAGTAAGTACTGAATACTATCCACAAGTAATAGGCTAACAACAAATTGGAGATTAGGAAGACAATAAACCAACAAGAGAAATATCTAGGATTCGAGCATTCCTTCTTGATTCACCTCCAAATAAGAGTAAATAACTGCTTAACATCTCGCAAATCGGAAGTTAAGACCTGCAGGATAATCTAGGGTCGTTTATAATTTTCAATTATGTCATTAGGATTGTGTAGTGCCTTAATGAGGGGATTACCACCGCGACCGAGTGTTATAAATAAGCCTGCAAAATAGTTTATTGCACAAGCAGGCGTTGTCCTCCGTTTCGCACTTGTTATTGGGGCATGAAACTTTCAAATATAGCATTTAACCGAAGCCTGATAACTGAAGGTGTTAATTTTATGGTTTTTCAAGCATAATGTTGTATATTAAGCTGGACGAAATAGGGAGTGAATGATTGAAACAAGTACATTCTCTTTGGGAGTTTTGAAACAGAAATTTTTATGAAAATATTGCATTTGCATAATACTTCACACACTGTTGACAAACAAAGTTATTTGAATTCAACATTGTATAATTGTTGAATAACTGTTTTCGAGATCCATTACCCTAACACCAAACTGATATTTTTGCACTCGACGCGCGTTTCGCCAACAAAGGTAGCATCCTCAGCATCCTCCTGAGGATAGTGAAGAGTTATTTCTGTTTGTTTTATTTCCATTATCAATAAAACGGTAATTTCCATAGTTGACAACTGAAACATTCGATGTAATACAAGGTACTCTCCGATATCAGTTTGTTGCCATTTCGCCACTATCCAAAGTTTTCTTTAAGATGGGTAGAATACCATTAAACAAAAATTTGTTTGTACGAACCTACTGACAAGCTTTGTTTTCTGGAAACATCAGGTCACTAAATTAAATTTGATGGAACAAAAGTTTCACTTTCACAAAAAAACCTATCCAAAACTTTTTTCCTAGAAATGAACCCATTCAAAAATCAGAATGATGTGAACAATAAAACATATTTTGAATGAGAAAGTAATATTTGTAATTAGATATTCACTAAAGATGGATCAATTTTGTTAATTTCCAATTTCAAAATGAATTACATGCTGTATAAATGAATCAGTAGCTTCGAATATAACATCACTCATGTTAATTATTTCGAAAGTTTGGCACTATTAAACTCAATGTCTAAATTTTGGCATTCTACTCCTCCATCAATTCATAAACAGTAGAAATTTTTTGTCATAGTTATTATGAACGGGTAAGTGTAACTTTCAACAAAATAATTCAGGTGAACTGGAAATGCCTGATAATCATTTTTTTATGTAAAGTTCATAGAATACATTTGTATCGAATATTTTTCTCGAACAATTAATTTTATAATACTATGTAAGAATGAAATAAACATTCAACCTATTCCAACATTTCAATTTCGATGAAATCAAACGTATCTGTACATTTCAAATCTATGTTTTCACGGAAATAATATAAAGTTATGAACTTTAATTTATATTTCATGCATCATGAAAGGTGCAATCGCATCAGCCGTATCTATAAAATGAAAACAGTTTTCCCACACCAGAACAAAACTACCGCCTCTAAAAACGTGCGTTTCGCTTATCAAGTTAGCATCATCAGGAGATGACTGGTTAGCGAAACGCTCCTCGAGCGTGAAAACCTTGTCAAGCTACAAATATCAGAAAATAATTGATGCAATAAGTTTATAATTTGGGCCTCTTAATCTATTATGGGTATTTTCAGTTTTGTTATGGAAAATTGGGAAAAGTTTTTTACTCGAAAAAAGTTCTTGAATCTTTTACGTCCACCAGATGGTGGACCTAGCGATTTATTATAATTGCTCTCGTTTACCCCCATCGGAGCCACCCCGCATGACACAAACCCAAGCACCGACATTAATATCGTTAAATCGTTGCTATGTTTCCGAATGAAAACGAGAGATTAAATACAAAAACAATAAATCCAAGATGTAATTGAACAAGTTGTTCCATATTATAAATAATGAAAATGTAGGTTCACCGCTATGTATGCACCATGCGATGCCGGCCGCGGTAGAGAGAGACGGAGCAGAAAAAAGCAGATAAACCTCGTGTAGTGACCATAGTGACCCATGCTGCGGAGTCTGGACGGCTTTAACTGCGTCACATTTTTATAAAACTGAACGCGAATGTGGTTCTCAGCCGTTTCATATAATCATCAGACTATTGGAATATTTATGGGAATATCTCCGACGAAGTTTCGAGTAGAAAATTATTTTCATGTGACAGTACCTATACCTATATTACTTAATTAGTCTTCAGATCCTTGTTTTATTTGAACTAGTCAGCGAGATCAAAAACAGTTTTCGGCATGCCATTTCTCAACAAGTAATTTATCTAATTAGATTTTGGCATAAAATGCTGAAAACTAACATATCTATATCTGCTTTTCTAGATATATTATTGAATCGTAATTGTTTTTTGAAAATCTACCTGTTTTTCCAGAATTACTCATTTATTCAATTGGGTTTTGTAATTATCTACCTTTATATAAAAGAAAGGAAGAATACTTTTATGCGTCAGTAACTGATGAAGCTACCGTATAACGAAACGTGTCTTAAATAAAATTTATTGTTGAAATTCTATAATAATTTATCATGGATAATATTTCGAAACTATGTGAACCATCTAATTTTTTTGATTTTTGACATTCGAAAAGTAGTTAATGAAAGTTGGCCTTCAAAACAAAGACTCATTCATGAAACTTACTGTTCTAGTATATTTGTTTAATCATTATTCAATGTGTTTGAAAGTAAGTAAATATGTTCAATGCTAAATTCTCAAACGTGCAAATAATATTCATCAAATGAATAGTTTTTCACTTTCTACTTTGGATTTAACGAATTTTTTTATGTTTTTGAACTTGGCTGGCAAATTGTTATAAATTATTACACCATTATGCGAGATGCAACGTTTCCCAGTTTGAGTTTTTGGTCTGCTTGAACGTAATTCCTGAAATTTTATCGTGTAATAATTATTAATGAAATGATTTCAGTTAATTTCAAGCTGTTGTATTTCTCAATTATAATGATGAATGAAGGAACGAATTGGCAATTTACAAAGTGAATCCAAAGTGATAAGTGTTTCGGTTTACATATATTTTTAGTTGGTTATAATTGAGGAATTTCATAAATATATTTGATAGATTCATTCTGAAGTTTTTTCGATAGTTTAAGAATTGCGGTATTTGCATATCCCCTATGGACAGTGTTATTAATTTTCATCAACTAACGGGTCAGTTTATTCGTAATACTGTTTTCATTTTTCCACGGACACCGCCTAAAACTGACGACATGAGGTTGGAAACCATTTTCTACTTCATGTTTATGAAAATCATACATTTTCAACAGGTAAAAAATGCCCCTCTGAAAACTCAACATGTGAAATTACTTTCAAATCATTTTAATCTACCTATCGTAGAAGTATATTCAGGAACAGGATCATCAGATGGTAGAAATTTATGAGATACGATAATTATAATTTACCGTAAATGAACAAATAATGCTTGTGCGTGAAATAAACTTCTGCAACCAAGGTCGACCCCCTATGAATCCACTCAGACATTGATGGAAATTTATTGCCATTCCCTCCAGCAAGCCTGTGGATTTGCATTTCACAAATTGGATATTACTATTTTTATTTCGGTTTGATTTTCTACGCACAAGCTGTAAAATTAGGTCATAATTGGGAAAATTAAGGAATGCAGTCTGGTTTCAACGCGGGTAGTCTCTAAAAATGGAGGCAACAATTCGGACAATTCAATTACCAAATGGATAGTGAATTGATCATCAACGATTCAAATGAGAAATTCTTCCTTTAGGTTTCCATGCAAAATGAGAAACTTCACATACAAAAAATCCATTTGACTGGTAAACATTTCCGAAACAGAATTGCCCTGGAAATCAATTGCTCTAAGACTATAAAATGATTCTCATACCTCCTCATTCTAATTTACTTAAATCTTTTTTTTCGATTGGCATTTAACATTAATTTTAGTGACATCTATTGATCATAGAAATGATACTTTTATTGTCTAGGGATTATAAATGATTTTTCAGTGGCTATTCGTTAAAAAATAACTTTTTCTTTTTTTTTTGAAATCTTGCATTGCGTAAGTACCCGATCAAAAAATACTCTAATAAATTACTACAAAACTTATTAAAAAGACGATATCGTTGTGGATATTTA